ATATTTAAGAGCAGCTATTCTAAATGACCCTTCCGGCAAAATAGGAAATTTCCTGCACGTTTTTACAAAGAGATGATATTTTTCAACCAAGCACAGTACATCCAGTTTTCTGTCAATCATACCATTGTATGAAGCAGAAAACGGAAGGGGAAAATGACTGTTGTACACAATGAATTGCTTTGCATGGTCCCATTTGAAATAATTGGTGTAATAATCTTGACTTTTTATATTTGTAAATACATAAAAACAGAAATATGAAAAAGTATTTCAAACTGAAAATAGTAAGTTAAAATTACTGTATAGAATTCCATGTCTTTCCTTTCTGACTAACAATAGTAGCATGATGTGGATACCATTGATTTTTCTACTGCTGTAGAGGCGATACATTTTTGTAACTTATATACTCCATGTCTATCAGCAAATCATGTAACACGGGTAATTATAGAAGTCCCATGCAGTTGGTGATTCAATAGAGAGAACCGAAATGGACTGAAACATTCAAAGCTTCATCTGCACTCAGTACCTGGTCTAACTCCCGGAGTCTATCATGGCAGAAGACTTCATGGTTATTGCTATCCTCTGAGGGACACAGGAGCAGAATGGTTAACCGCACTGTCTACTCAGTAACCACTGGACACGTACAGCAGAGAAGAAGCACAATGTATGCAAGTCCTCAGATTAGATAACAGCACTTTACTAATAGAGCTATTTCCTTCTTAGGAAATTATTCCTCCATTATATGATTCATGTCAAAGGAAAACACTCAAAGCGGACACTTTAAGGAGACACTTGATAATATATTTTAACCTTAAAAGTAATTCATATCTATTAGGAAACATAGGGGAATTTGTTTGAAGTAAAAAATGACAAGTATCTATGAAATCACCTCCCATTTCTGATACATATCCCTCAAGTCATATTTCAGCACGTATGTTATTTGTATAGTTGAGGTCATACTACATATACAATTGCATATCCTTTCTTTCTGTTCTTTTAATTATCTCATAGACATTTTCTTTAAAAATAAGAAGAGACTGTCTTGCTGTTCTCCGTTCCATAGCAGTGATCTGTCCTGCCATGTAGCAAGGGCTATTTTGGGCTACTTCGCAGAACTTAATTGCATTTATTCTACTGTGATAAGGAATGCTTTGTGGTGACTGTTTTTTTACTTCTAGTGACTTACTAGATAGGTCACTGTGGATTCTGACAAATTCTCCTTTGCATTCTTTCTTTTCTGATTTTCCACCTTTTTGTTTTCAAAACACTTTCTTTCCTTCTTCAGAGTTCATAGTAGGGTACCATTAGACTAGTTAGCAACTCTATCAGAGAGGTGCCTCCAGAAGACCGACCTCCTTTCTTCCTCTGCCTCTCCTATAGCACCAACTGAGCACAAGAAGATCTCAGGAAACCACTCTATGCTTTTTGTTTCTTCGTTCTGTAACTTTTAAGGTCGTCTCTTTTCTATCTTGCATTTTCCAGAAATGCATCTTAATCCCAGCACTTGGGAGGCTGAAGGAGGAGAAGTGTCATGAAGTTAAGGCTGCCCTGTGCTACATAGTAAAAGGACAGCCTGAACTACATAAGGAGAACAATGATGAAAAATTGATCTTGATAATTTTCTCAAGGACCTAACAAACATTATCAATCTTTTCCTCTATCCCCTATGATAACTTGATAGCAGTCAATTTGGCTCTTAATTTTATATTATCTTTTTCAACCTTCTCTAGCTGTTTAACATGTGAGAGTATTGTCTTGTGCTGAACTGGAGAAATTGTCTTGCTGTGGAAAGGAAAACTATTTTCAAACCTAATCACCAACAACCACTCATTTATGTTGGCTAATGCCATGGACATTTACTACAGGAAGAACAGAACATTAAGTGTTGGACAAGTGTTCTTTCATTGTTTTTTCCCAAAAACCTGTTATGTGGGAATGCTTTTGACTGCAAATGACAAAGGATTCAAAGTATCTACCAATGATTAAGTAATGTAGTTATTATTTATTATCTCACCTATCAACAAGAAGTGCAAACGCTGCTGGTAAGTGCTTTCTGAAATTTTCATAGGGACATTCTGATGTAAGAGCTCTGGTTTGGCATCTTTGAAAATTTCTCAGCCTTCCTCTGTGACTGTCTCAGGGCTATAGCACCTCCTGGGATCGCAGGCCTGCAGTATCTTCCGGTACCACAGTGTAACGCTACCATGCTCAATGTTATCAGGAAGGAAAATATTTTCTCAAACATTCCCCACCCCCAATTCTGTAACAGATGGTCAAGAAATGGGTTTCTATGTCCACATCCTGGAATCTCTAAATAATATTTGAACGATGGTTTGCAGAGTAAGATTGTTTTTGTATAGAAAGCCAACAGTACTTTGTAGTACTGTTGGGGCCAGCCAAATAGTTCTGTGGATTAAAACACTTGCTTAGGGAGACACAGGGGCCAGAGGTTCAATCCCTGGGCTTGCTGTGCCCACCCTGCCCCTGGGGTGCACTGAGAGGGTGATTGAGACTAGGCTTGGTGGTGCTTGCCTGTAATCCCAGCACTTGGGAGGCTGTAAACAAGAGAATCACTACAAATCCAATCTATGTAGTGAGACTCTGAACACCCTGTAGACCCTGCCCTAAATACAGGAAAAAAGAAAGAAAGAAAGAAAGAAAGAAAGAAAGAAAGAAAGAAAGAAAGAAAGAAAACCAGCAGTACAAATTGTGTAATATTACTAGAAAATGAAAACTTTATACAGGCTGAAAAATATGTGTAGGATTATATGGCTACTAACTGGCAAAAGAAGATTTAAACCAAATCTTTCCAAGTCTAACTTCCTCACTAGAAGGCCTCTCTCAAAGGATTTAATATCTCATTTATTTCTTTTCTTTTTTTTTTTCATCTCACTTATTTCACCAAATGATGTTTAGCAACAATCTACTCAATTTTTATCAGTTTTCTTTCTGCTGAAGGTAAACCAAGTGTACTACTTTCTTAGAGACAGATGCATAACTTATGAAACAACTGAAATGCACAAGATTATTTTGTTGTAAACTGTGGAGTAAGAGCTCTATTTCTACACAGAAGGGCCTACCGGAAGTTTTACAACCTAAAGAAGACTACATGGAAGCTTTGGGGTGCAAACAGAAGCTCATAGATTTGGGCCAGTAGGGAGAAGGATGACATGACCCTTGAGAAGAGTGACTTTGAGGAAAGAGATAAGATGGGAAGCAGCACAACCTAAAAAGTTGAGGGAAGCAAAAGGTGGCTGAAGTTTCAGGTACATTTAGGATCAGAAGCAAATTGCTGAGCTGACAGGATGTGGTAAAGAACAGTTGAGCAGATTGATGACATAGTCATTATCAGAGAGGTTCTGCAGGAGCCAATGGTGAAAATGGGAAAGTGGTCACTAAGAAGTCATTTATTGATCTCTTTTGGAATGACAGATTTGAGTACCAAGGAGTGATAAAATTTGTAAAAGGAGGGTTGGTCAAATAGCTCAGAGGACTAAAGTGCTTACTTATGCAGGCACAGGGACAGGGTTAAATCCCCAGCTTGCTGTGCCTGCCCTGGCCCCAGGGCACGCTGATAGAGTGACTGAAATTGAGCATGGTGGCACTTGCCTGTAATCTCAGCACTTGGGAGGCTGAAAACAGGAGGATCACTACAAGTCTGATCTGTGTAGTGAGACCCTGTGGTCTCTGTAATAAAATACATTTAAAAAGTATTGTAAAAGGTCCACTAATGGCTCAAAATTTCCTTTGGCCTAATGGGGCAATTTAAAGGTTTGAAAGATCATTGATGCATATGGGCTTGCAACTCTGTTTTTGTCATCTGAGATCTTTTAGCAACCAAAACACAAATAAATTTGGGCTTTGATTTCCAGGAAGATTCTGAAGAACACGCCCTCCTCGCTATTTCTCTAGTAATAGGAAAGGATTTGAGATTCCCAGCCCTCTGTGACCAGAGACTCACACTGGCAAAGTAAGAGCAACTTCTGGTGCTGTGAACTATGGCCAGTGCTGAACAGGCTTCAGGGCTCAAGCCCAGATCTGGCCTCACAGACAGCACAGACTGCTTTCCCAGCTCATCAGAGGCAGATACAGAGCCTGCCGCCAGCTTAGGAGTGTGGCCCCTTTGTCATTCCTCACCCTGGTCCACCCTTCAGAAACATCAACAACAGCATAGAGTCAAGAAAAAAAAATCTGCCTTCCTTATGTGCTTCAAATTAACAAAATGAACAGTTTAGATTTCAGATAATTACCTTTTTTATCTACTTTTGTGTACAAAATTCTTGTTGTTTCTAAAATTCTGGCAATTTTCTCAACTTTTCATGATCACAGTTTCCAACTTATGTCTATGATCTGTCCAGAATTATAAATCAATTGAAACAGTGGGTTGTCACTGTTTAAAATTGGATAACATGTATAGTTAAATTACAAACAAATGAAAAATTCTTTGAGTGTGGCTTATGACAGGAAGTTAGGGTGTCACTCACAATTCTTTAAGATATAGAGCTTGAGAAACTATAAGGGTTTGAAATAGAGCATTTCTAAGAAAGAAAAATAGTGTCTTTTCTCTTCTTTCCCACATACACAGATTACTTGGGTCTGTCTAGGCTACAGAGGGCAGAAGTGTTACTCTCACTGAGTTCATATAACAGAAAGCCTGCAGGTTATGGCTGTTCAAAGGTGGAAGAAGTAATTATCATCACTCAGCAGAAGTTGAGGGGAGAAACACTCGAGGGTGCGTGTGTGGAGGGGGTAGGTTTTAGCTATTTTGAAAATCATATGTTGATATTGCTCAATTCTTAACTTTCTGATGAAGTCATCTTCCCAAAAGTTTCTTGAAGTATGCCTTCACAGTAAAGCATTTAGACTTTAATGATGTCCTTCTGAGTAAAACGTTGAATCACACAAAGTATACAAATCAAAAAGGAAAAAAAAAATGCAGTGTGGGAGGGGCAGAGCCTTATAAAACCAGTCATTACCACCTCTGAACTGCGACACTCTCCAAGGAGCCTTTCCAGTCGGACAGCAGCGCAGAGCACAAGGTATTTCAGCAGTTTCTATGGTCATCTCATGAGGTGAATGATTTCAGTTTTTCCTCTTTCTTCATTTGGCATTATTAGCATTAACAGTCCAAGTGGGGGATTTTTGTGGACAATAGTGGTGTTATCTTGGTGGATTGTTTATTTAACTGAAAAATTTTTAGCTCAAAATTTGAATTAAATTTATAATAAGGTTTAATTTTGAATCTCAGAAGTTAGTTAATGCCTATTTAGCATTAAAACTAAAGTGTACAATCAAGGTGTGCTGGCAATGTGACTGAACAGGTTGGACTGTATGCTATACTAGTTATTGCTTTCAGAATACATTTGCTGGTAGTATCTACATAAATTAAAACATTTCTAGTAAGTTACCAAAAGTAATGTTTACATTATATCTAAGTAAAATGAAAAGGGAACTCAGTTTTCTTTTAAAATTAAGTCAGAAATTACAGAAATGAAGTAGCAATTTGGGCTGGATCAATTTAGTATCAGAAAATGTTTTCAGAATTCAAGTTAAAGGCTGGGAAGATAGCTCAGTAGAATAAGTGCCTGCCTGGCAAATGTAGGGTCCTGAGTTCAATTCCCAGTACTACAAGAAAACAAAGAAAAAAAGAAAAACAAAAGAAAAATGAAGTCAGTCAATTAATTACATGGAAGAGAAAAATCACCCAAACTAGTTGATGGATTGAATAAACAGATAATTTATTACTCCATAAACATATAAATATTTCCTTTAAAATTTGTCAACTAAAAGAAATTGCTTCCATCTTGTCAGGGAGACAGGTGGTAGTGTTTGAAGGGATACATCCTTACCACTATTTTTAAATCTTAGCTTTCAATGACTTTTATGGACAATTTCAAGATATTTACATTATGTAGTTATACAGAGAGAGCTTGTTTTAAAATGCCAAAAACAATCGGTCTCATAACCAGAACTATGAAAGGAGGGCCGCGGCTGCGCACTTTGGCCCTGCCTGAGTACTCACTTCCACCAGCGTTCAGGGCCACACTGAATGACTTGCACAGCTGAAACCAGAGCACACACCAGGGAGCCCAGCCCTGCACCTGATTTCCAAAGATAATATTAAGTGATAGTATTATGAGGAGCATAATAGTCACAAGACAGTGAAACTGTATGGCTTCCTGTACTATTATGAATGTCTCAATAGATGAGCCTGTTCTGGGAGGTTGCCTTACACATCTCACTCTGAATTCACTTTTGCATGGTCTTGCCAGAGTCACATCAAACAGGGATGGAAACACAGAGAGTGGGGAAATGCCAGGCACATGTGGCTTTCGATTTCTAAAATCCTTATCAAAAAAGCTGAGAAAGCACTAGACTTGGAACTAGAAGGAATTCATCTTAGGCTCTGAAGTGAGGAAGTGTACAATGCGCACCTCCACATTTTTGTTAGTGTAACAGAAACTCTTAACTGGATCAGTAATGATGTGAATTAAACAAAAAAGTAGCTGAATTCAGTAAGTTACTAAATGTTGTAGGCAGTTTTTTATGCTAAATGCAGTTAATTGCAGCCCACTTTAAAAATGAGGTTCAGATAATTCACTTTTGTAAATGTGTTTAGGACCACTTCCACTATTACTGATTTTTTGTCCTTTATTAAGTTACTATAAGTCCTAACAGCATTAACAGCCCCTTCTGTTGGCTTGCCTTGCCCCTTAAAATTTGTCAAGGTCAAATTGATTGGCTCTCTATATAGATTGTTAGAAAGAACCAGGAATAGGAGAAGTCAGCGTTTATTGTTTTTTGGCTGATTTCTGGTTTTCATTTTCATTAGACAATAGAAAAAATGCCTTATTTACATTTTCAATAGTCTGTTTGTTTCCAAACATGATTGAATTATTTAGAAGGCCTACACAAGTCTAATTACTAATAGAAGTTAAAGTTCAGTAAAGGGAAAAAGAAATTAATTTCTGAGCAATCAAGTAATGAAGCAAGAAAAAATCATTTTTTAAAAATTAATTTAGTGAGCTTTCTAGAAGCTTTACTAATTCACCAGTTCCTTTTCTTACTTCTTTCTATTGGAGAAGGAGAAAGAACTTCAGGAACAAGCAAATAGTATACTATTTTTGTTTTAATAAAACACAATTGAATCATATTTAAAATGAGAAAATTTGACACAAATTGCAGTCACTTCTTAGGAAAAACAGTTAGTCAGTGAAGGGCTCACACAAGACACTCTGGGACAAGTCAAGAGACAACTGGTTCTTGCTGCAGAGCCCTGCTAGAGAAGATGCTTGGCTCCTCCTAGGGAATTCCCGGCCCTTGTCACTTCTGAGAAGTGCTTGTCACAGAAGGCCAGAGAGAGGATGACTGTCATCTTTGTTTGGAATTTTTATGTATATTGGTAATTAGTGGGTATGCTTTAAACTATGATGAAAGGAAGACAAACACTACTAAGAAGATTGTCTAGTATTAGTACACACACACACACACACACACACACACAGAGATGTTTGAAAGTGTTTAAGCATTGTAACACAAAAAGCTTTATGTCATGGACAGTGTGTATGTCGTTTAATTTCAGATGGGTAATAGATTGAGTGAGTGTTTCGTATATTGTGCATGGAACTTTCCCTGCATTCCTGACTGACATGGACATCCTTACATCAATAGGGGGAATGAAAGAAGAAGGGGAGACTCCCAGTCCCCCACTACTGAGCTCCACAGAACAAGAAGTCCTTTATAGCAAGGCCATAGCGTTTGTGGGATATGTAGAAAGAGCTTCAGGAGATGCTGGGTGAAAGCACTTACCCTCACAGCTACCGGAACCTAAACTCTTCTGGAAGCAGAGAACTTAAAGGAAGGCAGGTCGTCTCAGTGGAACCAACTGGAAAATGAAAAATGCATGCAATGAGCACACATTTGAATATATGTGTGTCTACCTGTTTGCATATGTGCATGCGTGTGTGCTTGTGGTATAGATGCAGGGTGCACATGGGTGCAGCTGGCATGGAGAACTTGACGCTGGAGCTACCTACCTGACTCAAATTCTCACTGGTACCCTAAATAGCAGAGTGACAATGGTCACATCACCCCTTTGTGCAGTCCTTTCTTTCTTTGTAAACAGAAATAGCAAAGTTTTAGTGAAGATTAAATGATTAGTGCAGGTGAAGTGCTTACAAGAGCACTTCTCAGTCAATAAGGACGCAGTGAGCATCATTCATTGTTATTGCTGTTATGATGCATGTTCTGTGGAGTGACACAAAATGTTACTACTGTTCATAAAATTAATTGATATACCTCAGGATTTGCTACATCATTTACAAGGTCTTGTGAAAAATCAAAATGCAGGGCTTCATGTTTGAAATTAAGTATATGAAGAGGTTGATAGTGAGAGCATAGCGTCAAGTCAGGGGGCTTAGTGGGTGGTCCCATGACCTTAGAGCTCTCCCTGTCCTCCCTTACATGATCCCATGACCGAGACACAGGGTAGCTCCACTGCTCCTGGCCTCATCCTAAATGCTTCATTATGGCTTACAGCTGTTTTCCATTCTCCAGTTTTCTTACAGGTTGAAATAATGGAAGACCTTTATGTGGCAAACACCATCTTTGCACTCAATTTGTTCAAGCACCTGGCGAAAACAAGCCCCACCCAGAATCTCTTCCTCTCTCCATGGAGCATCTCATCCACGATGGCCCTTGTCTACCTTGGCTCCAGGGGTGACACTGAAGACCAGATGGCCAAGGTGAGTTTGCCATGAAGCTCCTCGGTAAGACTGAGTGAACCCTGAGACAAAGTACTCTCGTCTTATGCCCGGGTCATCTTGACTAAAGAGGCAGCAATTGTGGCATCTTAATAGACAATTACTTGTCTGTTCATTTCAGTTGCCCATTTCTTGATTGGGTCTTTTATTTTGGTGGTTTAATCTTTTTGAGTTCTTTATATATTCTAGATATTAGTCCTCTTTTAAAGGGAATATTTTGCACACATTTTACTGCACTTTGTTTTAGAACAAATATCATTTTAGAGGTGAAAAGCCTGACAGTGTGGATGAGGCCCATGGTTTCCCAGCTTAGACTCCTTCCCAGTGCTCTGCCACTGTGCTTGGTGTGTTTGTTCCCTATTCCTATAAAGAGTCCTTCTTACTGATTTAAAAGAGCGTCACAGAAAGGAGAAGTGGACCCTGCCTGTGGCCACATACTCACAGGGAAACCCAGGTAAACATGGCTTCAGAGCCTTACCCCATTATGGATCCCATGGGGCCATGCCCATACAACGGGACCAGGCACCACAGAAGGCCCATCTTTCAAATCAAGTTAGACAGGTCATAAGATGGCATTGTACATGATTTTGTGTTAAGACCTTTGCCTCTTTTGAAGAATTGATGTAGAGTCAGGGAGGAGACCCTTCCCTGAACTGTCTCTGGGCCTTAAAGTGCTGAGCCACTTCAATGGCTCAGTGTAACATTTCTAGGAGACCCATTTAGTAAACTGAAAAGTCTCACCAAGCTGTTATATTCTAGGCCAGGGACCATGATGTGGTCAGCATATAGTTAAGATTCCTTGTCACTCACATGTCTATAAAGATTAAACGGATTACTCTAAGTACAAGCATGCTTTGTGCTTTGAGTCACACCAAAGTGCCAGGGGCTGGTTTCTGGTTTCCCAGGAGGATTGTACATGAGTATAAATATACCTTTTTCAGGAACATGATGACCCATTTAAGGTGAGCCTGCCTTGAGTTATGAGGCTTCAAAGGGAGAGCATTATCCAGTCTCAGTGCATGAGGACAAGAGAAAGAAGGGTCACTCTCTCTGCCTGTGACAGTTTAAGTGCCAGAGTCAACAGTGAAACTCAGCTGCTCAACTCTGCTACAGCAGCATTTTGCAACATTCTTTCTCCTTTATTCTTCCCTTCAAAAAATAATTAGTAAATTGCTTGTAGAACTTGAGAAAATGCTGGAATTTTAAATGTAAAAGAATGTAAAGCAATAGAATTTGAAGATGAGTGCTAAATGATGGCTCTGGTTTGTTTAAAGTGAAAAATAAACCCTTCTTTTATATGAAAAGAAAAAAATCTGATAGATTACTCTGGACATAACATGGCTTTTTTATATTTAGAAAGTGCTGTCAGAAGTTGGAGCTCTGTTATGATTTTATATAAACTCCTTTAACTCTATAAACTGCAGGTTTTAAAATTCAAAAACCAACTTCACTGCTTCCTAAATAAGAAGAAAGAGAAGCTCCTTGGCCTGGAGGTAGAAGCAAGGGGTTTCAGGGCAGATCTGTCCTTAAGTCAAGGCTTTGCCATTTACTAAGCATGCGAAATTCTATGAGTCTTAACTTCATTTACAAAATGGGAATGAAAATGCAAAGTCTGTAAAGGTCAGAGTGAGAATTAGAGTGAATTTGTAAACTACAGAGTAGCAATTTGCACTAATAACTAATAATTGGTGATGTCATAGGTACATGTCTATGAACTACCTAGGAGTTTACTGAATACAAGACCCGATGAGGTAATTAAGAAAATTAGGACAGAAAGAGGCCACCCAGTTGGCAACTGGTGTACCTGGAAGAAGAGCACAGTTGGAGAGAGAGAGAGAGAGAGAGAGAGAGAGAGAGAGAGAGAGAGAGAGGAGGAATAAATGAAAGCACAGCTTATAGGAGCTCTATGTACTAACAAAAAATGTTTTGTGAAGTCATGAACCTGTCTAGGTCAACCTCCTTTGGGCCTCAGGATGACCCAAGGTCACTTTCCTTCTCCTCTTCTGCAGGGACATTTACCAGTATGCATTTTTAGTGATTCTAAAAGGTAGTACCAGCCAGGAGAACCCTTGCTTTGAGATCAATTGCCTTGGAAGGAAGATAACTAGAGAAGCTGAAGTAACATTCCTCCCCTAGATGGGGGCAGAGCAGGATCACATCTCTTCAGAGAGAATGGCAGAAACTATAACAGAGGCCTTGAGGGACAGACAGTAGCCAGGCAAGTGCTGGCACTTCTCTCCCCAGCCCAGGAATTCAGCAGGTGGCCAGATCTGCCTGCCCCTCCTTCACTGGCAAAACCAGCACCATCAGCCCATTTACCTCTCCCCAGGGCCGCAAGAAGGTCTCCAAGGACACATGGAGGTTGGAGGTGGGGTCCCTGTGGATGCTGAGACTGGTAGCTAAGCTAGGCAGGTGACAATGTTGTGGGGAGAGGAACTTCAAGAGCTTTCTCAGAAGCCAGCTTTCACCTGACGTCCTCACTGTGAGACCCAAAGCCAGACACACACAATACAAAGAGGTTCATAATGTCATCAGATCCCTGTGCTTTGCTCCCTTCCCCAAGAATCTTAATTTCTCTCTGTATGCGAGTATGATAGGTATAAACATGTTCAGTAACACCTGTTCATACTGAGTGACCCCTTTTTATGTTTAAGCTGACTTTGGCTTAAAATTTTTGACAACTTATATATAAGGTAACTACAAAGAGATAAAAGTCTCTGATTTAGCTGTCTTACTTTCATTAAAATACTGGCTTATTTTCCAAGATAATTTATGGGCTGGGTGACAATTTAGCTAATTAGTGAAGAGGTTATAAATCATCTCATAATAGCAAATTGTTCTCCAAAGCAGACAGCATATGAATTAGTTTAAATTGTCTCATGCAGTTTCATGCAAGGGAAGTTTAGATTGGCTGGCTTTGCCATGTCATATTAAAAAAAAAACACACATCTGTGCTTGTTTCCCATGTTCAGAAGTACAGAATCAGACGCACAACCACTTGGAGGCACCTAACAGACATTCATTTTCTAAACTAAGTAATTTATTGGAAAGCATTACATCCTTCCTTATTCTGATTGCAGGTGCTACAGTTCAACAAAGTTGGAGACCACGATGCTGCCACAGGGCGCCCAGAGAACTTCACCGGCTGTCATTTCAGTCAGCAGATACAGAAGGAAACCTATCCCGAAGCTATTTTGAAGGTACCTGACTCATTTGTTTATGTTTCTTTTGCTTTGTACTCCTTGAATTGCATCCTAGTGTTCATTGTTAACACCACAGGGTTACACTGGGGAGGAAAACTAAATATTCTAAACTTAGCTGAAAAGAGGGCAGCACGAGGGCAGAATCATGACTTAGAGGGCAGGAGTGTTTCTAAATTTTATTATTCCCCTTATCCTTAATTGGGTGCATGTATTTTATTTAAACTCTTCTCTACCATGGTAGAGACTCCTGGAATACATATGTGGAAGGAAATTTCCAGAAAGAGAAACCAATGATACATAATAGAGGAATGGTGAATACCAGGCCAAATGACAGCTTGATAGACTCCTTATCCTAATTGTCTGTCTCTCTGTCTGTCTGTCTGTCTGTCTGTCTGTCTGTATGTCTATCATATACCTATCTCAAGTAGTAGTACTTTTTCCTCAGCATTCTTTCCTTAAATATCAGCTCTCAACTTGTATCTCTGGAAAAGGTATAGCTGCGCTTCTCCTAGTAACCAGCTTCTCCAGCATGCTCACAAGTTAGACTATAGAGAGATTCCTCTGCATCTCCTGAGGTCATAGCTTCCTTCCTGGATATGGCATAGTCTATCCACCCATCACCCACTGAGTTATGGGCCAGGAGAGTGGAGATGCTTCCACCAAGTTCCTGAAACACCTGCCATCCATGTCAGGGCTCCATCCCTTCTTCCACCCCAGGCTGCTGCTGTGAATGCCCATGTATCTCTCGTAATGTTTACAATATGTGGCAAACAATGGAAGTTCCATTCACTTTTATGATTTCTAAAACCTACCACATCAGCTATGCACCAAAATGGGGACCTACAGAATCTATATGACTTTTGTTACTAAGATCACATTTTCTCCAAAACTTTATTGAGATCATCATAATTGACTGGTAAAAGGTACAGAGTTTCAAGTTGTACACTGTCATGATTTGATAAGTATTTTGAAGTGAAAACTACTACCCTACTACCAAGTTAACATACCTCAAACCAAAACTAGTTATTGTTTGTATAACCGGGTTGGAAGATGAGTATATTTATAGTGGTGTGTATAGTACTCTTTACAATTAGTATTATTAGTGTATGTTAGATCCCTAGAACTTACTCATTCTTGTAAAAATAATGAAAATTCTTCAGAAATCTTGAAGTTAATAAACTGAACAGGAACATACATTTTTCTATGCTGTTAGTTACTTCCTGGTTAAACACAATGGATATATAGTAAAATTTGGTGCAAATTATCTAAATTTTACCTGAACAGCTTTGTGAGACCTTAGCCTTATCAGGGCCAGCCAGATAGCATGATTAAAGCGCCTGCTTAGGCAGACACAGGGACTGGGGTTCAGTCTCTGGCTTGCCATGCTGGCCCTGCCCTCAAGCTGTGCTGAAATTGTGACTGAGACTGGACGTGGTGGCGCACACCTATTATCCCAGCACTTAGGAGGCTGAAAACAGGAGGATCACTATGAGTCTGATCTGTGTCATGAGACCCTGTACAGCCTGTACTAATACATAAAAATGAACTTAGCCTTATCAAAATCACTTCAGAGATTCCTCTAAAAGAAGATGTGTGCATGAATATAATGTCATTATTTTGCTAAGAAAATCCTGTCTTCCCTTAAGGTGTATCTTGTTCAGCCATCTGGTATAATAAAAAGAGAATCCTTTCTGTTTCAGACACAAGGAAGAGACAAAGTTCACTCATCCTTCCGCTCTCTCAGTTCGGCAATCAATGCACGCACAGGAAATTACTCACTGGAAAGTGTCAATAAACTCTTTGGAGAGAAGTCCATGAAATTTAAACAAGTAAGTGACCTGTGAGTGAAATGGCTGGGCCTCCAGCTAGCAAGATGTCACTTTTGAAGTCATTTCCCACAATGCATATCCAGTTCCCTGCAGAATCCATAGGACTGGTCTTACCATTCAAAATATCTGGCTAGCTGAGTAATTAGGGTATGAACCCACTGTCTTCCAGATCCACTGGTGCCTGAGCTAAACCTCTCTGCTCATAAACCATTTCTAAGATGCCAAAGAGACAAGAGGGCAGAGCTGAGACTGGAATGTGGGGGCAGGGTTTAATGCAGAACTTATACTCTGTATTATGTCCTTATGCAGCCTCCGTAGCCAGCTTCAATCCCTGCTCCTGTCCTATGCCTCCCAATCTGCACCAGGGTCTTGTAATGTACCATTATACCATGACCTATACAATATATATTCTCTAAAACCTTTGGCATTTTCTTGCCTTACAGGAATACATTGAACTCTCTAAGAAATATTACTCTACAGAACCCCAAGATGTAGACTTTCAGAAATGTACAGAAGAAGCCAGAAAAGAAATTAACTCCTGGGTTAATACTCAAACCAAAGGTAAAGGCAACAGAATGTTTTGTTTTCTCCTTTCCACGTAGAACATGAAGAAGTATCTTATTAAACCATCCTTGAGCTTCACCGTCATTCACTAGAAATTTGTTTAATTGCACTTTGCTAATAGCCCTTTATTCTTATTTAACTGTAACAGTGTTTTCCGTGAGAAAACAATTGCTGAGATCCACTGTTAGAAACATGTTATACTATATAATCAGATTTTGGATGTAGTCAAAGTATAAAACATGAAAAGGAGCAGGAATTTTCAAACATCAGAAACATTAATATAAAGATAATTGAGATTGTGCCTACTGTGAACCAAAACAAAAGGAAAAAGCCTTGCGATTGAGCTGGGTAATCAGCATGCGGTATGAAGAATACTGGCAATGGAAGAGGGAAGGGTTGGGAAATTACCTCTTCTCTCTATTCAAAGCCAAGCTATTGGCAAGCTTTTGGTCCTTCTGTCATTTCTTCTTAATTGTTTAAGTGACTTGTACCATTTTAACTCCTTGATTCTTTGATGAACTCTAGTTTCCCTGTGTATTTTTGCAAGAGCTCAAACTGTATTAAATAATTTATTCATTGTTATTGAATTTAGTCATTCAATCAACAAATGTTTATTTACCATGTACTGTGCACTGACTAAGGAGATGAAAACAAAAATGGTAAATCCTGTTATTATCCAATTTATAGTCCAATACAGTAGTAACAAGATGAAGTAAAGTAATGTATTTTAATGGTTTATGTACTGCAGGGCAGGTGAGTTCTTTCAATGGATTCTTTATTACATCATTTTTTTAAAGATTATGGTCAGCTCATCTTTCCAAGAACCTTATCTGACTCGCTTTTTTTCCTCTCTTTCCTTTCTTGAGGACTTTTTATCATGTAACCCAGTTACATAACATTACACATTGTTTCACAATTGATTACTTTGTAGGCTCCTCTATGCTATTTCTTCTCATTTCTTACATTTAAGTATTTCTTGTTCAACTTGTCTACCACAACTTCAAATGTTCTTGAAAATCTTTTTATTTTTCAAATCCATAGACTATATCTTTTTATTTTTCAAATCCATAGAATCCAGAGCTAGAAGCATTGAATGAGGGTGGCACAGTGCGGAAAGACACAGCTACAGTAACTAGGAGGCACTTTCACTTCCTTCTGAAGCAACTACCAGGCAGCTGAAAATCTATAGAGAGCAAAGTAGAGATTATAGAGCAGAAAGTAAAAATCTTGCTTCTATTTTTCTTTAAGTGCAGTATTTCTTAATTTTCTGTTTGATTTAAAAAATCTGCGAAATTTGTCCTACTTTCCCTCATACTTAAGTAAATAGAGAAGACAATCTGCGCATGGAAATCAAACTCTGCAGAGTTTGCAAAACGTGAGCGCTGAATGTGATGACTACTTGAAAGATCCGAGAAAGTGTAACCTCACAGTTCCTAAAACCTAAACATGTGTTTTCTTTAGGCAAAATTCCACACCTGTTACCTGAAGGTTCTGTCAGTGAGATGACCAAGATGGTCCTGGTGAATACTGTCTATTTCAAAGGAAAATGGAAAACTCCGTTTGAGAAGAAATTGGACAGACTTTATCCTTTCCGTGTGAACTCGGTATGAGCCATGGCACATTCCCTAAAATATACTTACTGCCTTAGAAAATCCAGAGACAGGAAAGCTAAAAGCCACTCTTGATTTTCCTGCATGACTTGCTGTTTGCAGTACACACGAGCCATGTGTAAGCTGTTAATGATCAGTCAATAATTTCCTAAGAGACAAGAAAACTAGAGACAAAGTCTATGAGTTTTATAACTATATATACAGGGACTGAAATGTTTGTTCTAACATTTACCAGCTCTAACTTCTCTTATTTTCTGTGCATTTCATGTTTGATCTCTAAACTAAGATATGACAATATCCAATTCACACAGTTGTTATAAGTGTTCGCTGAGCTATAGTAGAGTTTCTGGCCCATATTTATTAGAGAAGTATGTTAGAATGATTATTATTATTACCTGTCTTATTACAAATGAATATAAAAACTTAAACAAGCTGAAAAGATCAGAATATCTACTTTAAAGTTATACAAATAACTTAATTGATTGATTTTAAAAACATATTTCTTCAACACTGAAATTAAACTCGTTTTCTTTGTCTCTTAAATTTTTTGACCTCTAGAATTGACTTGGATATTTGGCTTTTTAATAATTTCAGACACAGCACATACCTGTGCAGATGATGTACTTGCGTGAAAAGCTGAACATAGGCTACATCGAGGACCTGAAGGCTCAGATCTTAGAGCTCCCGTATGCAGGAGATGTCAGCATGTTCCTGTTGCTCCCAAACGAAGTTGCTGAAGAGTCCACAGGCTTAGAGTTGGTGAGTCGCTACAGCTTCAATGGTTTACACTTCTTGGGCTAACCGTACTTTTCATGAGACATACATCTATACCATAAGAAGTAGAGTAGTATTTCTCACTGAAATTTGGGTATCATTTGATTGCACATGAAGCATATTCTAAAATTCCATTCAAAGCCTTAAACATGTCATACATGTTATCTTAACAAAAATCTAAGCAATCTATCAAATTTTGTATTACTCACACTGTTGTAAATTCAATGAGGATTAAGTTTAGACCCGGAGTTGTTTACCTTTCTGTCTTGGTTACCTTTTTTTCGTTGCTGGGACCAAATACCTGACACCCAACGTTAAGGAAGGAAAGGTGTATTTAGCTCAGTTTGTGGAGGTTTCAGTCTGTAACCTGCTGGCTCCAAGGCAGAGTGGCAACAGTTCAAAGCAGCAGAAGACAAAAAAGCCACAAGAGCAAAAAGGGTAGAACAAGCCTCTTTTCTCCCTTATAATGTAAGCAGGATAGCTGCCTCTGGGTGAGTGTAGTACTGGCACCATCTCCCTGTGCCCCTTTTGCACAGGCTCAGGATGTTTACAGTGAGGCCCTGGCCCCCTCCTGGGCACTTAGTTAAATTTCTAAACTTCTTGAGTTGACACAATGCATCAACCATAATACTTTCTTAAACTCATTGTATCTCTTTTGTTTTGTTTTTGTTTTGATTTGCAGCTGGAAAGTGAAATAAATTATGATACTTTCAACAAGTGGACCAGCAAAGACACACTAGCTGAAAATGATGTAGAAGTCTACATGCCCCAGTTCAAATTAGAAGAGCATTATGAACTCAAATCCATTCTGAGTAGCATGGGCATGGAGGATGCCTTCAATATGGGCCAGGCCAACTTCTCAGGAATGTCGGAGGAGGACGAGCTGTTTCTTTCGGAGGTGTTTCATCAAGCCACAGTAGATGTCAACGAAGAGGGGACAGTAGCGGCCGCTGGTTCTGGGGCTATTATGACAGGGAGAACAGGTCATGGTGGCCCTCAGTTTGTTGCAGACCATCCTTTCCTCTTCTTTATCATGCACAAAATCACGAAGAGCATCTTATTTTTTGGCAGATTCTCCTTGCCCCCAAATTGAAAAACTCTGATTTGACACAAAGATTTGGCTACATGAGCTATAAGCTTCAGAATTGTTGCCTTAAGTACTGACAAGTTAGAAAATTTTTCTGCCTATTTCTCTTTTTTCTGAACAACTTCTGCTATAGACTAAGTTCAAACTCAGATACAACCACACAGCTGACAATCATAACATGTCAATATCATGTATCGTTTGGTCTCCTGAAGCAAGTTCATGCCCATTAAGTTCTTCCTGACTAGTAGTTTATTTTATAGTATTAGCTTTTACTGTATTATTTATTATTTTATATACGTTTTATTATTGTTTGCTGTCTATTTAATATGACTGGTAAAGTTTCACAAGCAGGTAAGCAGTTACTGTTTTATCTAAAGAAATGCATTTACTCATTCACTAAAGGATGAGTAGATGTCTTTCTATCTTGTACCATAATAAATCTTATAAAAATCACCAAACAACAGTAAAATGTGTATTATGTGTATTTCTAACATTATGTGTTACATATGTGTATGCAACTTATGTAGAAATGCAAAACTGCAATAAATAAACATGTTTGCACACAACTGTTTACTATCGTTTCATCATAAGACTTGTGGTAATCAGCTTCCACTACCATAAAAAAAAGCCTGAGCTAATCAACTTTAAAAAGGCAAAGACCTAGTTTGGCTTACAGTTTTAGAAGTTTCTGTCCATGGTTGGTTGGTCTTGTTCTTTTTGCCTGCTTACTTTGTGGCTGTATTAAGGCAGTATATGATGACAGGAAGTGTGTGGTACAGTGAAGGGACTTAGGTCATGGCCAGCAGACAAAGGGAAGCAAATGTACTAAAATCCTCTTTGAGGACACAGTCCTAATTACCTGAACCCTCTCTCTGCCCCACCTCTTGAAAGTTTATATCACCTTCCAATAACACCATCCTGAGGATCAATACTGTAACACCTGAGCCACTGATGAACATCTGCTTCCAAATTTTAATTTAATTTAATCCCAAGAGTTGTGTATCATGACTTACTTGTGGGAACACAGAAAATTAGGCAAGACAAAGAGTCTAAGGGTAGAGCCACGCCTGTTAAAAAAGTTCCAATGTTGACGGTAAGTGGAATCAGGAGGTGGGAAATATTAATTAGAACTGCTATTTCATAGCAGCAAAAGATACAGCGATTCAGAAGAATAGTATAGATCAGAGTCCTCTTGGGAGGAAACCTATAAACTTAAGGACAAAAGAAGAGCCATCAAATATAGTGATCCAGTCATAGAATCAAGGTCATTGAACGGAACAGAGTAGAAAAAAAGCTAGGTGTAATAGCAGGAAGGGAAACAAAATGTTTTCTTTTAATGATGTTTGCTGCAAATAATTATGAATACTTTTGAGTAAATTAGAAGCAGAGCAGATTATAATTTTAAAATCTGAAAACTAAGACAAATCACAGGTTTTGGAACTAACTGGATCCAAAATTTTATTGAATGAGTTGGCTGAGTCCTGGAATTCTGCTCCAGATGCACACCAATAACGGAAAGTAGGCCAGGGAGATGGCTCGGTAGAATAAGCGCTTGCCTGGCAAGTGCAAGGGCCTCAGTTCAATCCCAAGTTCTGAAAAAAAAAAAAAAAAAAAAAAAAAAAAGAAAGAAAGAAAGAAAGTAGCAATGTTGACTCACCAGGACATAGTGGCCAACGAAGTTGTTTCAGGGCCTTCACTGACTACCCGTATCAACTCCTAGTGGTAACACAGTGGGTCTAACCAGAATTAAATATGGTGCTTTATTGCTTCAGAATTCTTTTGGTGTGAATATTTTTTCATAGAATGCTGTAGTTCATGATACAAACTTATTAGTACATACCTGTTATGTAATTAAAGAATGTTTTGTTGATACTCTGCATAGAGGACCCCAAAAACTCCACCAAGAGTCTTGGTCTCGAGGTGAATGTTCATTTCTCTCTCTCTCTCTCTCTCTCTCTCTCTCTCTGTCT